GAGTCAGGCAGGTTGTCCTCTGACCTACACACACCCACACCCACACACACACACACACACCCACTAATGAATAAATTAATGAAAAAAGTGTTGGCAGTTAGTGAGCATCCTACGTTGACCGTGCTGTCCTCTCCTACTGCCTCTTTCATGTCTTTAAACTGTTAATCCTTCACTCTGTTTCCTTTCAGACTTGACTTTTTTTTTCTTTTTTCTTTCTTTTTTTTTTTTCAGTCTTTTTGAGACAGCGTCTTCCTGTAGCTCCAGCTGGCCTGGAACTCACAGAGATCCACCTGCCTCTGCCTCCCAACTGCTGGGATTAAGTCATGCACCACCAGGCCTGGGTCTCGGGCTTTTATTTTTTGAGACATTCTCATTATGTAGCCAAGACAGACCTTGAACCTACAGTCCTCCTGCCTCAGCCTCTGAAGTGTAGGGTTTAACAGGAGGGCATCAGCATGCCCAGCATTCTTCCTGACTTTTTTATGTCCCTGCAAACACATGCAATGTATATTTCTGGCAAATTTTGGTATTTCTTTTTCCATTTACAAAGTGACTTAATTTCAGGCATACTGAAAATAAATAGAAATACACAGTCCGGTTCTCCATCGCTGTGACATGTACCTGAGAAGAACAGTTTAAAGGAAGAAACATGGCTTTACAGGCATGTGGTGAGGCAGAACTTCATGATGGCAAGAACCTGTACCAGAGCAAAATTGTTCATAGAAGCCAGGGGACAGCAGGGACTAGGGACAAGCAAGCCCTCAGAGCCCCCCTCCCTTCAGGAATCCCAACACATTACAGATAGGTCAGTGGACTATACCACTGATGGAGGCAGAGCTCTCGTCATCCAGTCATGTCTCAGTCATGGAGCCACCAACTGGGGACCCCTCATATCCAGATGAGCACATCCTGAGTTTGAAGTGACCACGGACACACTGCTGAGACAGGAGAATTGCTGTGAGCTTGAGGCCAACCTGGGCTACATAGTTCAGGTCAGCTAGAGCTGCATAACAAGATCCTGTCTCAAAAAAACAATGAAAAAAAGGAGGGGGGCTGGGAAGGTGTTGGGGAGATGGTTCATCAAAGAAAGAGCACTAGCACCCATATGGTGGCTCACAACTTTCTGTAACTCCAGTTCTATGGAATCCAACTCTCTCTTCTGGCCTCTGTAGGCATGAGTGCACTTGCATACATGCACACAAAGCACTCATACGTATAAAATAAAGATAAACAGAAAACTTAAAAGAAGAGTTTTAACTATATCATAATTAGAATATTATAAAAACTAATTTGAAATAACTTTTTTAGAGTATAATGTGTTTTTCTGTTTTAATGTTGGTTATAATCTCTTACTATACCTAATTTATAAATCAGCAGTGACACAGCCCTGTAAGCCCAGCCCAGCACTAGGGAGGTTAAGGCAGGAGGATCATGTGTTCTAAAATAGCCTGGGCTTTGTAGTGAGAACTTGTCTCAAAGAAACAATAAAAACAAAACAAAACCCCTCAGGCTGTTTGGAAGGGAAGAACTAGAATTTTCATGGAAATTTTAAAAGATGCTAGAGCCTTAGGATGGGCATAGGCAAAAGTTGCTTTTGTAAAGAAAATCTCACTGTATCCAACTTATTGTCTTTTGGTTTTTATCCATTTTATAGAATTTTTTTCCAATATATATTTCTTTTTTCTTCTTCTTTATTTATTTATTTTTTTGGTCTTTTTGAGACAGGGTCTCCCTGTAGCCCCAGCTGGCTTGGAACTCACTGTGTAGACCAGGCTGGCCTCAAACAGAGATCTGTGTGCCTCTTCCTCTGAAGTGCAGGGATTAAAGGCATGTGCCACCATGCCCGGCTTCCAATATATATTTCTATAGAATTTTTGTGCATTTCATATAATACATCTTAATCATATTTAGACCTCCCCTATCTGCACCCCATAGTTCACCCCACTGGATTTCATGCATTCTGTCATATATGTTAAGGCCTATTGAATCAAGTTTGTGTCCCCAGATGTCCTTTAGTGTGAGTTCATCCACTGGAACCTATCTGGTCAGCCTATTTACTGTTACTCCCTTAAAGAAGACCAATTGTTCCTCACCCAGCAGTGATCAGCTGCCAATAGTTCCTTGGCTGAGGTTGGGGCTTCTTCCCATTCCCTAGTTCTAGGCTGGGTTTTTGTCTGGTTTGAGTTTGCATGGGTCTTGTGTGTGCTGTCACCATTGCTGTAAATTCGTATGAACAAGTTCCCAGAAGCCTGGAAAACTCTGTTTCCTTGTGGCCATCCACCATCCCTGTCTCTTACAGTCTTTCTGCCCCCTCTTCCACAATGGTCCCTGAACCCTGGATGGGTGAGTTTTAATATAGGAGTTCTATCCAGGGACACACACTCTGCAATCTCTTATTCTCTATGTTTTGGCCTGTTGTGGCTTTCTGTGTTCATCACCCTCTGTTGCATGAGGAAGCTTTGTTGGTGAGAGTTGAGAGATGCATTGTTGTTCTCTCTACCTCCTGTTCCACTGTGCTCCCTGAGCCTTAGGTATAGCAGTTCCATTGTAGATGTGTTACTTAGGGCTGGGCATCTCATAGACACTTGTTCTCTGTGTGTGACCAGTTGTGGAACTTTGTAATAATTTGATTTAATAATAATAATAATCTTTGTAATAATCTGTTGAAAGACGAAGCTTCTTTGATGAGTGGTGTGTAGTATACTTGCCTGTAAATATAAGGATCCATATTTAACATATAGTAAGAAATTACATTTGTCTAGGGTTGTAACAGATGCCAGGTTTTCTCAAGGATCTATGATCTCTCCAGCCAGGTGTATTTGGCTGTGTTTACAGTATCACACATGAACTCCCCTCCCATCGAGTGGGCTTTAAGTCCAATTAGATAACTGTTGATTACCTCCAAGATGAAAGTGTCACTACTGCACTGTGCTGGTCATTGTTGTGGTTATTGGCTTTAAAGCTGGGTTTGGACCATTGATTGATTGTCTCCCTTAACAGCTTCTGTACTGTCCTCTGAAACTGTGAGAGCCAGTCCTCAGGGAGGAGGCTTCCAGGTCAGTTCCAGCTCCATTGCTCCCAGTCCTATATCTGAAGTATATCCTGTCTTCAGCAACAGGGTCTTACCTTCAAGTTCTGGGAGGTAATCAAGGCCTGTGGCAATAGCCTGTGTTATTTTGGGAGTCTCTTGGACTGCCCTGACCAACTACTCAAAGGGAGTTTTCTGTCTGGCACTGTGTTTTTCCTTGTTATATAGCCTTCAGCTATACACATGCACTCATACATACAGATATTGTATGTGTATTTTTCAATAGATTTTTGAACTAATACTTTTCTTTCTGGTATTTCACATCGCATAAACAAACATTATTTATCTTTCTTGTTTCTTTCCCTGTCTAAGCCTCTCTTTTCTTTCCCCAGTTAAAGTACTCCCATTTCCTCCAAAACCTTTGATAAGACCTGTCTCCTGGAACTGGAGAGATGGCTCAGCGGTTAAGAGCACAGACTGCTCTTGCAGAGGACCTGGGTTCAATTCCCAGCATCCACATGGCGGCTAAGACGAATCATCCTTAACTCCAGTTCCAGGGCAATCCAATGCCCTCTTCTGACTCCGCAGCATTGCATGACATGGGTGCACTCACACACATTCAGGCAATATACTCATACACATAAAATAAAAATAATAAAATATTTAAAAAGACCTTTCTCCTATTATCACTCATCTCTTGAGCTCTTTCTTCACCTTTACACCCCCCTGTATAGCTCTCCTTCTTCCCTTCCCAGCTAAATATCCTCACTTTCCCCATGTCCTCTTGGTATCTATCACCTGTCTCCTACTGTCCTCCTCTTTTGGGTTCCTTCTTTCTCTTTACTTCCATGCTTCCTTTCCATTTTCCTAGCTCCTGCGGTTACATCAGGGTATATATCCGCATACAAAGATTTGGTGCTAGCATCCACAAATGAGAGAGAACATATGCTGCTTATTTTTCTGAATCTGTGTTACTTCACTTAGTGTAACAGTTTCTAGTTCTAGTTCCATCCATTTACCTACAAATTTCATCTCTCTCTCTCTCTTTAATCCTCTGTTTAGAACTCCATTGTGTAAATGTGTACCACATTTTCATTATTTGTCAGTCGAGGGGCATTTCGGTTTCTTTTTCTTAGCTATTGTGAAAAGAGCAGCAACAAACATGGATGCACAAGTATCTCTGCAGTAGGATGAGCCCTTTGGACATATGCCAAGGAGTGAGGGGTATAACCAGATCATATGGCAGATTTACTTTTAGTTTTTTTTTGGTCTTTTTGAGACAGGATCTCCCTATGGCCTCAGCTGGACTGGAACTCACGGTGTAGACTAGGCTAGCCTTGAACTCACAGAGATCTGCCTGCTTCTGTCTCCCCAGTGCTGGGATTAAAAGCGTGCACCACCACGCCCAGCTTATAATTTTATCTTTTTGACAGGCTCTCATTTTGTAACCCTGACTGGCCTGGAATTGTAGATCAGGCTGGCCTAGAACTCAAAGAGATCCACCTGCCTCTGCCTCCTGAGTACTAGCATTAAAGGCATGTGCCACCACACCCAGAAATCAGCTTGGTAATATTTAAGTGCTCTGATAATGCTGTTTAAAATCTAGAATCTTTTTCTAATAACTTTTAATAAATTTGTATTTATTTTTATTTCATGGATACGTCTGTTTTACCTGCATGTAAATACACCCTTGTCATGCAGTGCCCTCAGAGGCCAGAGGAGGGTGGAAGATCCCCTGGTACTGGAGTTACAGACAGTTGTTAGCCACCATATGGGTGCTGGGACCTGAACCAGGGTCCTGTGTAAGAACAGCCAGTGCTTTTAACTCCTGAGCAATCTCTGCAGCCCTAGTGACTATGTTTTGAATAGGTAGTATATTTGATTTTGAGCTGTATATTAACACATTTTTTTCTTAATACTTTGAAAATAATTGTGGGCTTTTCTTCAAGTGATATGATTTGCTTTGTTTCAGATGGCCGAACAGACCCCATTTTGGATGATGTTGGTGAAGCTTTCCAACTTATGGGGGTTAATCTGCATGAATTAGAAGACTATATTCATAATATTGAGCCTGTCACCTTCGCCCATCAGATTCCTTCATTTCCTGTTAGCAAGAACAATGTCCTTCAGTTCCCGCAGCCTGGGAGTAAAGGTGCCGAGGAGAGAAAAGCGCACGTTCCCGATTACCTGCCACCCATCGTGTCTTCTCAAGAAGGTTTGTCATTGCTTAATCCTCATGTGTTGGTGACTGCTTTGATGGAGTGCTCATCATTTTAGGTTTCCATGCTCTGCCAACATACACATTCTAGAAATACAGTCTCAGCATTTGCATGTTATTTACGACTTCTTCCAGCCTCTAAACAAATGTACTTGCAGCAGTGTTGTCAGACAGAACCGTGGTGTGATCAAGGCTCTCTGTGATGAGGCATTCATTTCCTTGTAAATCTTAGATAGGAGAGAACCAGAATGAGACCACCCAGAGTCCTTTCAATGCATGTATGATATGAGACTGGAATATTGAGTTAGAAGAGGATTGAAACAAAAAGAAAACTTGAGGTATCTCTTCTCCTCCCCAGTTCTTAGATTATTTTAGAGTTGAATGCCATCCCTGTGCCCTTGGGATAATGCGTGCATTGTGAGCACTCACTGATAGGCAGACTTGGATCTGTTTTTTAGGATGAGTAGAAATCATTTTCGTTCTGTTTAGAGCTTTTGATTTTAAAGCGGATGTGGATGTAGCCCAGTTAGAAGAGTGCTTGCCAGGCATGCAGGACCCCCCCGAGTTCAGCCCCAGCGGTGATAATGGCACATGCCTGTAATCCCAGCAGTCAGCAGGTTGAAACTGGAGTATCTGGAGTTGAAGGTCATCCTAGGCTATATGGTGAGTTATAAGCAGCCTGAGCTACATGGGACCTTGTCTGGGAAAAAAAAAAAAAAGAGAGAGAGAGATGAAGGTGAGCAAATGCATGCAGATAGATAATGAGTGGTGTTTGCCAAGACTAGGGTTTAAGGAATGCAGGTGTATGTTTAGTGAAGACAGAAACTTAAGTTTGGGAAGATAAGTTTTAGAAATGGATGGTGGTAATGCTAGTATAATAGTGTGAATATACTCAACAGCACAGGACTGTGCACCTGAAAATGGTGAACAGCCCCTGATAAGTGGACTCTCCAGTATTTGTCTCTTGCGGCTGACTTATTTCGCATACCATCGTGTGTTCAGGGTTTATCTATGGGGTACCATGTGTCGGGGTTGTCTTCCTTTTATGGCTAACGTTACATTATTTGTATATGCCACACCTATTTCGATAGACATTGGTTGTTTTCTGCCTTGTGAATAAGGCTGCTATGAATGTCGGAATATAAACTCCTGTCCGAGTCCTTGCTCTCACTTCTTTTGTGGGTACACCGGAAGAAACTTCTTTGGGGGGTACACTGGAAGTAAGCTTGCTATATTACACTGTACTACACAACATAGAGTTTTGTTAGTTTGGTGCTGGAGGTTGAACTCAGGGCCTTGCCATGCTAAGTACAAGCTCCGTCACTGGCATGGCGACTAATAGATCTAATTTTGTTTTCTAATTACATTTTATTTGTGTATGGATTTGTGGAGGTCAGAGCTGGTTCTCTCCTTCCACCATGTGGGTCCTGGGGCTCCAACTCAGGTCATCAGACTTGGTAACAAGGGCCCTTACCCACTGAGCCATCTTGCTCACCCCGGTGTCTGGCTGATTTCGGAGGAACCGTGCTTCTGTTTTCTACAGCAACTGCCGTCATTTCCCTCCAGCCGGCAGTGGCCAAAGGTTGCAGTTTGTTGCAGTTTGTTTTGTACAATCTTTTGTTCCACTTGCTAGTTTTTGAAGTATTACGCATTTGTTTCAAAAACTGGATAAATACTGGACCTGAGTTGTAGAGCGTTGTTGTGGATTATTGTGACTTACTGTGAGACCCTGGCTCCAGAATGCAGTGGGCTCTACTGAGCACCAGTGCTGTAATTCAGGGTGCTGAGAATGAAGCCCTGAATCATTCTGTCCATAGCCAGGGTAGATGTGGAAGGCACTTCCTGCAACCTTTCTTAATGTGTGTGTGTATGTGTGTGTGTGTGATGTGAGCATGTAGGGGGCTGTACATGTGTGTGGAAGCCAGAGGGGGATAGCAGGTGATCTGCTCTTTGCCCTGCCTTATTCACTTGAGACGTGGTTTCACACAGAATCTCCTGTTCAGCTATGCTGGTTGACTAGCAAACTCAGTGAACCTCCTGTCTCTACAGCCCTGGGGTTACAGGTATGCATGGCCACACTCAACTTTTTGCATGAGTGCTGGGACTACAAGTTCAGGTCCTCATGCTTGAGCAGCAAGTGCTTACCCACTGAACCATCTCCCCAGATTCCTTGCTTTAACCCTTTATTGATTTTTTTTTTGATTGATTGATTGTTTTGTCTGTATGTATGTAAGTACACCCATATCATGCAGTGCCTATGGTGGTCAGAACAGGGCTTCAGATCCCTCTGGAACTGGTTACCGTTGTTAGCTACCATGTGGGTGCTGGGAATCAAACTTGGATCCTCTGTAAGAGCAGACAGTATACCACCTCTCCAGCCCCTGCTGTAACCTTTTGAAAAGTTACCATGGTTTTCTGGTTTGAGCCCCTTATGAAACAGATACTACTCAATAGCTTAGCACCTTCCCCCTTAAGGTTGTGTGGATTAATACTGTCTGGAGCCAGGAATTAGAATTGACAGGGCCAAGGCTGGTGCTTCAACAAAGAACACCTTAGTAAATATTGAATAGCGTTAAACTGAATTTGTACAATATTGACAGTAGAAGCCCCTTGTTTCTCTTTCCTCTAGGTCTACTAGTGTCATCAACAGGCCTTGGCAGTCTGCAGGTGCTCCTCAGTCATTGTCACCTTTCTTGTAACTGCTGGGCCTGCTGCTCCTCACCACCTTGGTTTGTGAATTAATAACCTCCGTTACTGTTGGGAAAACTTCTCTTTAAACTCTTTGTTGCTTAATGTTAATGTTTTAATCTTAGAAGCCTACTTTTATTACATTTTCTTTAAACAGAAAGGCATTTACCTCAAAAGTGTAACAACTACATTTAAATAACAATATTAACAAAGGATTGGGGGTGGGTAGTAATTGGATTGAACAAAAGCCTATTTTCTCTTTTCATTGAGGCTGTGAATACCAGGTAGTCCCAGAAGTTTTTTCTTGTTATTGTCATTAAATATGATTGATTAAATATCCAAATCACTTCATGAAAGTATTGGTCTTTTGAGACAGGGTCTCCTTGTATCTAGCCCCAGATGGCCTGGGATTGGCTATGTAGACCAGGCTGGCCTTGAACTCAGAGAGATCTGCCTGCCTCTGCCTCCTGAGTACTGGAATTACAGGCATGAGCCAGAGAATTAATCTTTGTATATCTCTGAAATTCTTATCTTCAGTCTACTAGTGCACAAAATTCGTGATTGTGCTAAAACATAAATAAAAATGAAATGTTGGGGGCTGGAGAGTTGTCTTAGTGCTTAAGAGCACTGACTGATCTTGCAGAGGACCCAGGTTTGATTCCCAGCATCCATGTGACAGCTAACAACTGTCTTAAGTTTAGCTCCAGGGGATCCAATGCTCTCTTCTGACTGCTGAGGGCATTGCATGACACAGGTGCACCTACACACATGAATGCAACACATTCATACACATAAAATAAAAATAATAAATACAATATTTTAAAAAATGAAGTACTGGGAGGAAATGAATTAGAAGTTAAAGAAATGATATTATTGTTTGTAAGTAATTGGTACATTAATGACTTTCAAAATCATGCATTCATGAGTTTTTTTTTTTAATTTTTAAAAATGATTTATTTAATAACAACATACTTAGAAGAAGCATATCATTACAACACAATTGACATATTCAATAAT